TACCCCAAAAAAAAAAAAAAAAAAGAAGAAGGCACATTTGCAATTCTTCCCTTCGACACGCTCAAGACAATCTGCTTTAATGGTGAACTCTTTTCTTCTCATTTCAATATTTTGCTCACTGTTAAATACTGTATTTGTTATTTTTATTCTCAAATTATTTATGTCTTATTAATTATTATCTTTTATTCGACAGGACAATGTAGAAAGTTGTTCAGATGCTCACCTCGAAGACGAGTAGTGCAACATCAATTGTATTTTGCTACAATATGTATTTTGAATTTCAAAGTTTTGATATATTTGCGGATTGCTTATATGTTTTAAGGATGATGGGGATTGTTTATGTTTGAACTATTTAGAATAATTTTAATTGAATGCATAAAATTTTAGTACAGTATGGTGTCGTATGATTTTTTTATTATTATTATTACCAATTAAATACGGATGATTAGAAAACCATTTCTAGCAAATATTATAATTCACATTTCTTTTTGTTAATTTTTTATATAAAATAATTACATTTTTCGACCGCATTTCCCTCTCGGTAATGCATATTTCCAACAAACACTTTATCATCGGAAATAGTTTCCGACAATAATTGCCTATTTCTGACAAAATTCCCCACGACATAATCAGGTCGAAACAATTATATTTCCTACCACTTGTTGGTTGAAAATATTTTCCGACAGGATTAATCTATTTGCGACAAACTTTGCGACGAATAAATATGGTTGGAAGGAAATATATATTTCCGACGTAACTTGCCCATCGAAAATATATTTTTATACTCTTTTCCGACGAGCTATTATATATTTTCTACAAACTCTTTTGGTCGGTAATGATAATTGCGACGAAATCTAGCCCTCACAAATAATATATCATTGTCGGAAAAAGTATTTCTGACAACACTCATTGGTTGAAAATATGAATTCACAAAAACAAGAAATCATGATAAAAGAACTATTTCCGACAATCAAATAAGAAATTACGATCACATGTACGGTCGGAAATAAGTATGTAGGGTCGTTTTAAAAATCCATTTCCGATAGAAATTTAAGCAATAGCTACGAAGCATGGGCGTCAGAAATACATTATTTCCGACGTAATGGTCGGAAATGAAGTATTTGCAACCGAGCTTTTAGTGACGACTGCCGACGGACTTTTGCCGTCGAAAAAAGATATTTGCGAAGGCAAAAGGCCTTTTGCAACGACAAAATGCCCTCGCAAAAGGGCTTCTGTTTTGTAGTGATACCCAAGTCAGACGAACAATTTGCACGTCAATATCGCTACGACCTTCCACCAGAGTTTCCTCTGACTTCGCCCCGCTCGGGCATATTTCACCATCTTCCGGGTCCCGACAGGTATGCTCTCACTCAAACCCTTCTTAGAAGATCAAGGTCGGGCGGCAGTGCAACCCTTAAGGGGATCCTGCCAGTCAGCTTCCTTACGACTTACTGGTTTTATAGCCCGTTGACTCGCACACATGTCAGACTCCTTAGTCTGTTTTCAAGACAGGCCGAATGGGGAGCCCACAGGCCGATGCCCGAAGCACACAGATACCTAGGCATGCCGAAACAGCGCGTGCTGCCTACCACGATCCCGTTGACAGGGTGTCTGTGGGCATATCAGTAGCCCGGGCTTTGGTCGCCGTCGCAATCCGCATCGGTCAACGCCTTGAGCCGATCAGCGGACCAGCTTATTATTGTTCCACATCCAACCGGGGCGCATCACCAGCCCCCTTCCGCTTCCATTATTCGACTCTCTTTTCAAAGTCATTTTCATCTTTCCCTCGCTTATTCGTTTGGTATCAGTCTCTCTCTCGTATTTAGTCTTGGACAAAATTTACCGCCTGATTGGGGCTGCATTCCCAAACAACTCGACTTGCAGACAGCGCCTCGTGGTGCAATAAGGTCCGGGTACAACGGGGTTTTCACCCTCTCCGGCGCCACCTTCCAGTGGACTTGGGCTCGGTCTACCGCTGAGGACGCTTCTCCAGACTACAATTCGAACACCATGGGCACCCGATTCTCAAGCTGGACTATTCCCGGTTCGCTCCCCGTTACTAGGAGAAACCTTGTAAGTTTCTTTTCCTCCTCTTATTGATATGCTTAAATTCAGCGGGTAACCCCACCTGACCTGGGTCGCGTTGAAAGCTGAGTCGGAGCCAAGCATTTTTTCGAGCCCTTGATGCTCGACGACTGCACAAGACAGGCAACCGAGGTTTCGCAACCACCGATTGTCGTGACGTGCGTCGTCGAGGACTTGATATTTATGCCAACCGTGCGACGAGGCGCATGGGAGGCCATCATCCACCCCCCGACAAGGAGTAGATGGGGGGCAACGACGTGTGATGCCCAGATAGGCGTGCCCTCGGCCTAAAGGCTTCGGACGCAACTTGCGCTTAAATTCACACCAAGTATCGCATTTCGCTACGTTCTTCATCGATGCGAAAGCCAAGATATCCGTTGTCGAGAGTTGTTTTGACATATTTGAAGATGACGAC